AAACAAATCTTGGGCGCGGCAACTTCATCTGCCTCGATAAGTTACGTGTACGTGACATACAGCCAATACAGACGCCTGAAGGTGCACCGCGTTTGTTCGATCTAGTAAAAGCCAAGGATGACAAATTCCGACCTGCCTTTTACCATGCACTTCAAGATACATTGGTCGCTAAAGACTTAGCACAAGCTAATCGAATCGCATACGGGGCTAAGAGATGGAGAGTTGTCACACTTGATGGCGAGCTCATTGACAAGAGCGGTACCATGTCAGGCGGTGGCAGGACCGTGAAACGAGGGTTGATGTCAAGTAAACTCGTGGCCGATACAACTCAGGAGCAGGTGACGAAACTTGAAGGCGACCGCGATACACTTGAGAAACGCTTCCAAGATTTCCTGGAGAAGCAACGAGAGCATGAGATGCGCTTGAGAGATCTTCAGGACCAAATTCCACGCTTGGGCACACAAATACAGAAAATTGAACTAGAGATACAGAGTGCCGAGAAAAATATTGCTGATGCAAAGCGCCGGATCAAAGAGTTAAGCAAAGAACACCAACCCTCCGCGTCCGATGACAACCGGAAAGCCACTCTGGAGAAGGAAATTGCAAAATTAAACAAGGAAGTGTCCAAACTTCACGCTGAAACCGAGGGCCTGGAAGCCGAAATCAAGGAGCTGCAAGACAAGATCATGGAGGTTGGCGGCGAGAAACTCAGAGCTCAAAGAGCAAAGGTCGACTCTCTAAAGGAGGAGATTTCCTCTCATAACGAGGAGACCTCCAATGCTGAAGTGAAAAAGGTCAAGGCTGAGAAGTCCAAGACAAAGCTTCAGAAAGATCACGCCAAGGCTACCAGGGAATTGGAAAATGCTGTCAAAGACCTTGGACAACTTGAGGAAGAGATAGCAAATCAAGGAACCAAATCAGAGTCTCTAAACGCCCAAGTTGAAGCTGCTGAGGAGGCGCTTGGAGAGAAAAAGCAGGAGCTTGCTTCCATGAAGGCGGAATTGGACGAAAAGACGTCCGAGCTCAACGAGACCCGCGCATCTGAAATCGAGATGCGCAATCAATTAGAGGATAATCAAAAGGCTCTTGTCGAAAACCAGAAGCGCTTGCGTTATTGGAACGAGAAGCTAGGCAAGCTAGTCTTACAAAACGTTAACGATCTGATGGGCGGAGTGTCGGCGAAGAAGGCTGCAGAGCCTGATGCACAGGAATCCGCTGAAGCAGACGGTGAGGAGCAGGAGCAGGAACCACAGGAGCAGACCCCTGCAGAACAGCCCGAAGAGCTTCCACGATTCACCCAAGACGAATTAAAAGATATGAGCAAGGAGGCCCTGAAGGCTGAGATCGCTGCTCTAGAAGAGAAGACCCAAAATGTTAATGTCGACGTCAGCGTCCTAGCAGAATACCGCCGTCGCGTTGAGGAACATAGCGCGCGCTCCTCTGATTTGGCTAGCGCCGTGCAACAACGCGACTCAGCCAAGAAGCGGTGCGATGATCTTCGGAGGCTGCGACTGGAAGGCTTCATGGAAGGATTCAGTACCATCTCGCTTCGCTTAAAAGAAATGTATCAGATGATCACCATGGGCGGAAATGCGGAGCTCGAACTCGTCGACAGCCTGGATCCATTCAGTGAGGGTATCTTGTTCTCTGTCATGCCGCCCAAGAAGAGTTGGAAGAACATCAGCAATCTGAGTGGTGGCGAGAAGACCCTTTCAAGTCTCGCGCTAGTGTTTGCGCTGCATCATTATAAACCCACGCCGTTGTATGTTATGGATGAGATTGATGCTGCTTTAGATTTCCGCAACGTGAGTAACCACAGTCCTATACATTCTTTCACTCTTACTGTCGCATATATATTCCGTCCGTCTAGTCTTGGGAAGAGTTGCTAACGAGATTGTTTGCTTTGTGATTTACAGGTCTCCATCGTTGCCAACTATATCAAGGAGCGCACCAAGAACGCACAGTTCATCGTCATCTCACTGCGGAACAACATGTTTGAGCTCGCAGCCCGTCTTGTAGGCGTGTATAAGGTAAATCATATGACCAAGAGCGTGACGATCGAGAACCGCGACTTTATCATCAGGAATGCAGTCTCGAGACCGGCCGGGGTCGGCGGTGGCGGCGTTACGCAGACTGTGGTGAGATGATGAGATGTTTTTGTTGGGACAAGACGACAACGGCTGATGGCTAATGATTGATGTTCTGAATGCTGGTACGGGGTGGCTTGTAATTACGAGGATATCCGGATAAGCATTGTGAAGCGGGTTATAATGGTACTTTGGTTTTATTGATGCGTACGGGGAATACAGACGTTGTAAATACCCCGGCATATACAGCGCAAATCGGTTCATGAAGGTCTGTCGATGATAGGATGCTGTCGATGCGTTGTTGTTACCATGCTAGTAACTCGTGGGGGCTGTGCCCTTTGTTTGGCCCCTTGATTATGATGACGCCTCGCCCCTTGCATCTGGGATTTCAATCCGTGTTAACGGGTCTAGGGAGTAAGTGGGTAGTATCGTCTTGATTTCACACATGCTGAAGATACCTGGGACTTGACAGATGAAAACTATACGCCATCACAATATGAATGCTTCCATCTGTATGGGTAAATACGTTGGTATCATCGACCTCATTTTTGCTGTTTAATTTGGTCCTAGCATGCGACTTCAAAGACAGGTATATATGTTTTTTTGAATAGCGACATTATATAGCTTGGTCATATTTTACACTTTACCAAAGCCCAAATCTCGAAACAAGGGAGAGCTGAGTTCCCAAACCACGAGCATTCCGTAATAATTTGGATGTAACCATAGTAAAAAAGTACGTCGATCTCACAATATTTCTTGAGACGGCCCCTTACGCATACAATAAGTCCAGCAAACGACACGACTCCTCCTATGAACCCGAATATTGATTAAATATAGCGGATTAATCAATCTTCTATTTTCCTAGAGCTTGCCTCCTACCACTAGCTTTGTGCCTGCATGCTACTTCGTCTTATGACTCAGGGGCTAAGTTTCTCGGGCTTTAACGAGACTATATACAGGGAGGGCCGCTGAGGGCAAAGTCTGCTTCAACCGGCATGGTTTCTTGGCATGGTACCTTACCAACGTACAAGGCAGGGCAATAACCCCTAGATTTCATTGCGGCTTGCCGGGTAGCTACGAATCGGTATATCACTTGGCAAGTTTCTGACCTTCGAGAAGTTATGGTCGTTTCCCTAATTGCCTACAATCCCTTTCAGATTGTTTAACATTTCTAAATGTCCTTACCCTACTCAATATTGTACCACTCTGTAACTTTCCATCACGATGCTCTTGCACATTGTGCCTGCCTTCTTTAATCTGGCCTTTGTTTGCGGCAGGTAACGTCATTTAAAGTTAGTACTTCACGCCGTGTCACTGAGAAGTATCAGACACATCCGTGAGCTTCCAAACCAGGAGAGCTTGGTTGATCGTTGACTTCCACTCTACTATTTTTCGTTTGTGCTATTCCTTTCACTCGTTTCAATTAGGGAGATAATCAGATAATATTCGATAACCGATACCAAACACCCATTCGGAAAAGGTCTTCTCTTGTACACCTCAAGATCCTCCTGAACCTGTTAATATTAGACCCAATCGAGGGAGGCTACTTAACAAGCTTATGACTACACTGTATTAAAAAAGTTTGAAAGTTGGGGGCACGACTAAGAGTCATAGACCATGCATACATAAGACTGTGAGATCCCTGACCAACTACCCAACGAGCTCGAGATATCGCCATTCAGCCTCCAACTTATCGTTTCCGTCTTTGAAGACACGCTTGCTCTATGCATCACTTTCTACAGGGCTTTTCTTCGAACACTTATCACACGAGACAATCATACTCATAATTAATCATGAGTTCTGACACATCTAGCGCTGCCACCCCTCAAGAGACTAGGTAAGTTATAGCTCCTTGTCCTGTTTTCCAGTCTTCAAGACGCAGTTTTGATCCAAGATACAGCCAGCCCGCGACCGCTCCCTCCACTAGGCCGTCTAGCACTACCACCAATCCAATTACTCAGGCGCCAGCAACAGCACCGTCGATGAAAATGTCTCCACTGCCGAAACCCAACCTCGGCCCAAATGTCACAGCTCATGCTATTCAGACCGAAAACGGAATTGAGTTCATCTATGTCTCTCATGAAGTCCCTACCGTCTCCCTTAGGGCATGTGTTGCGGCGGAGATTACAGACGCTGGTGACAGAGCTGTCAACTGTTGTCTCAAGTGCATTTGCAAAGTCTGCTGTGGAATTTGAACGTATAGTTGGAACTCAAGCTATAGCCGATATCTTACGGATGTTGGCTGGGTATGATCCAGGCACTCGTGCCTCTTTTTCGCCCTTTATTCTTGCTTCCACTTTTGGTTGTTGAGGTATAAGCCTGTATTATCTGTTTTACGAGCGATGCGTTGGATATGTTTATTCCATACCGGAGGGATTATTGTGTTAACTACGGGTTTAGCGAATAAGGATAATGCTGCATGCACTTCATCTTATCATCAAGATACCCCTCTGCCCCTTTTTTTAGACTTGAAAGTACTATATTCCATAACACTTGGTGGATGTGCAAAGGCGCTCACATGCAGACAGCATTATTCTGTGATAATCGTAACTCTTGTAGTAACCCTTGTAGTTATAGTCCATGAAGCACAAACTCCTGCTACAGCATGATTATTTGCTCTAGGATAGTTGCTTTACAGGACAGTGGTAGCAGAAAGATGTTTTACACTTCACATTGCGTGCATTAATTATGATTGTCACTACTGATCCCAGAATAAAGTTAATCGTCTGGAGTCTTGGTGGTATGCAAATAGTAAATATTAGGGACAATAATTTTCCAATCCAAAAGGTTATTGTCCATTAGATGCGTGCCTTAAGATACCTCGTTCATCGACAAGTGATAATGGCAATTTTATAGTCGCAGCGTCTTTCGATGCTTATCTTTAATCAAATTAGACATGGGCTCAGTTATCAATCCGAATTGGTGTAGTGGCTAACATTTGACGCTCTCATAACATCTCATGATACAACATGAGACACAAGCAGTGCCGTCAAGCCCGGGGTTCGATTCCCCGATTCGGAGTCGGTTTTATTTTTTATTTTTTTCTATTCTTTTATTCTTTTATCTCTCTTCCCGTGGGCTCCACAACGGACTGCGTGTGGTCTTGGCAATTCGGGCCGTTGTAGAATTTCAATGTTAAGCTATCACATAGACGGACACTAACTAGATCTATCCGCCTAATTAATATTGCAGGTAGTGAAAACATAGATAGTAAAAGATGAAGCCTGAATTGAATACTCGCTTAATAAGATTAACCACGGCTGGTAGCATATTCTTGTGGGGTTCACCGTCGGACAGACACATTATCAAACTAATAGGAGCGGATGAAATGGAAAGGCCGGCCTTATTACAACGGGTCTCAAAGATTGGGGCCTATATTTTGTTACCGGTCAAAAGGACTACGCTGCTGAGTGCGCCGTCTCGCCAAATCTCACGGGACGACTTAAATCTTGCAAGATACCCCGACTATCCCAAAGAATATAAGATATATCTTCGAGCCAACGGAGGATGATGGGTACGTCAATACTTTACTACCATATTATATGAAAGATGATGCGAACCGTAGAGGCGTTGTGGGAGGAAACCCGTAGTTAAGCCCCTATTTTGGTACTCTTTGCTTCCCTGTTTCCGGTTTTAAAGACGAAGACAAGACGTCTCGTTGCCGAGTTTTGAGAGTCACCTGAAACCGCTCCGTTGAACCTCGCCGATATCCCTTCCTGTCTAGTGGATTCTGAACGTACAAGGATACTGTAACACATGGTTCCATAAGGCGTAAACCATATATAACCTTTTATACGAATTCACGGAAACAATAGATCCAGATATATAATAACTAATATGTTCACTTGCTGAGTTATCTTGTTGAGATCGTTTTGACTAACATCTATCGATTATCTCTCAACGGTCGACGCCATCTTTACTACGTCTATCACTTGGCCACGGTAATACTATGGCTGGCATGACGCTTCATATTTTCACTGGCAATGCTCCCTTCTATGTCGTCGCCATCTTAGCGGCGCTATATCTTGCCTACAGTTGGGCTTTGCCGAAACCTATAACAGGTATTCCTTACGATGAGAGCGCGAAAAACAATGTCGCTGGAAACCTTCCTGAGCTGATTTCCATGTTACGCGCCACGGGGAAGACGCGAGACTTTTTCAAGGGCATGTCTAGAAACCTCCCGTGCTTGACCCCTTACTCTCCTTGTTATGTATAATCTAGCAATTCCTACAAGTGGGACTTAAAGAAAGACGACTGACATATTTCTATGCATATAGAGCATCCGAAGAAGCATAACTCTGCCATAACTCAAATCTGGATGGGCCCATTACAAAAGCCTTGTTTAATTCTTTCCGACTTCCGAGAGTCTCAAGATATCTTGCTGAGACGCACTCGTGAATTTGATCGGGGTCCTTTCAGCACGAGCGCCTTCGCTGGCGTAGTCCCAAACCACCACATTGCCATGTCATCACTGGATCCTCGCTTTAAGGGAAACAAGGAACTTGTCCGAGACCTGATGACGCCCAAATTCTTACACGAGGTGATATCTCCAAATAAGCGGGGATTACGAGGAAGCTCACCATTCCCGTAGGTTTCTGCGCCGCAAATCTATGCCAAAACAATGGCTCTTGTAGACCTGTGGGCTCTCAAAGCTAAGTTGGGAGAAGGTCGACCATTCAACGCGTGTAGAGACATATTCGATGCAGCAATCGACATCATCAATGCTGTCGCCTTCGGCTTGGAAGATGATCAAACCACTATCAAAAATCAAGCGAAGTTTCTTAGTTATAAGTCTGGTCAAAGGCCCGCGATCAATGCTGACGGAACCGTTGACTTCCCAGAACTTCCCACCTTGCCGAATATAACGGCCATTGAGGCGATCGGACTTCACCTTGGAGAACAGTTCAAGACCCCTTTTCCTAGACTGATGCACCGAATCCAAATGTTGATAAGCCCAACATTGGCAAAGCACTTTACCCAAAAGGATAAGTTCATCCGCGATGAGATCGACAAGGCTGTCGTGCGCCTTTGCAAGGATGAGAGCGGTACACGATCAGCTATGGACCACATTCTACAGCGAGAAATGAGGGCAGCAGAAAAGGCCGGACGAGAACCAATTTTTCACTCCCCGCGGATCCACGATGAAGTAAGTCTTGTCTCTGCCAGACCAGGGAACAATATTGACCGTTTATTAGCTATTTGGGTTTCGTAAGCAATTCTCTGAATCGTTTTGTTCTTGCTTTACCAATTTCGAAGCATGAGACTTCTCAGATAAAGGTTTCTAGAAGTTTCTGAAACTTTTCAAGAAACGCATTCCAAATGACCATATTGACTTTCAGAGTCGTAGTTGTAGCAGGGCATGACACAAGTTCTACTGCGATAGCGTGTATGTTCTCCCATGCGTCGTCTAATTCTCTCCATAATGCAGACATAACGCTGTAAAGCTGAACTGACTATCTCTATCTGAAAAGGGATGGTTAAGAATATTGCAGAGTATCCTGAAGTTCAGATCAAATTACGAGCGGCTCTTCGCACGGCGTACTCCGAGGCGCATGCCGAGGGCCGACAGCCATCAGTAGTGGAACTTTGGAAGATATCCGTCCCGTATCTTGATGCCGTCCTCGAAGAATCATTACGTTACGACGGTGTGTATTAGAACCTCCCGTGCCTGATTCCCCGATCTCCTCGTTTTGTCTGGATTATCAATATCTACGATATGGGGCCTGGCGATCTCGACTAACGCATCCTTTCTACGTAGGACCTATTCCAATCACATTACGTGAAGCCCTTATTGACACGGTCATCCTAAGACATAAAATCCCCAAAGGAACCGTGGTATTCTTACTTTCGGATGGCCCTGATTATCATTCTCCGCCCATTCCCATACCGGAACACGCCCGAAGTCCATCATCGCGCAACAGGAGATCATGGGACCCAAGCGACATGCATCTCTTCAAGCCAGACCGCTGGTTAAAGACGACCGAGAACGGAAACGTAGTGTATGATTCCCAAAGTGGACCGATGATGGCTTTCGGTCTCGGCCCGCGTGGTTGTTTCGGCAGGCGCTTAGCGTACCTTGAGATTCGCATTGTGCTAGCACTACTAGTGTGGAATTTCGAGTTCCATAAGCTTTCAGACGAGTTAAGTTCCCGAGATTCGCATGATTCGATCACGAAAAGCCCTGTTCGGTGTTATGTGTCATTGACTAAGGTTTGACGTAAGTGTCAATGTAGAACAGCAGGCGTATAATTAAATGAGAGGCTCGAACGGAGTATGTGGCTGGGCATCAGTTGGCCATGACGAGCGGTTCCATTTTATCATGGAATGGCTATGATAATTATGACTCTAGGCCTAAGAAAGGGTCTTAAGAAGGTTGTGCGGTGAATACATCCTCAGATATTAAGCTCTAACAATTTGGCCTCCTTACCAATATGAACCCTCACATGAATATGGCGATGATCAAATGTACTAGTACCAATGGCCTACCATTATTATGGCATGTGAGAATCCCGTTTCATGTCTTTTGTAGTTGTAGATTTAAGATTTTATTACACTTTATGTGTAAAAGTACGTAGCACTCCCATCTTTTCTGCGTTTACTAGGCTCATCATAGACAAGGAAAACTCTTTCCTAAAGACCTCTTTAACATAAATATATTGCGGGCTATCTGTTATGATAAAGGTGGAAGAGAACGACTTATTAATGTGGGAAAGATCGTTGAGATTATTTCACAATATCATGAAGTCTGAATTATCCGCTATTTGTGTTAGATGTAACGCTTATGCCAATCGCCATGGCGGGCTAGCTAGTAGCTATGCCTAACAAAGATCACTAGCGCATTTATTTAATGAACTCTCTAGTTGTAATATGAGTACTAGTGCTTAGCATACGTAATATAGTGTTAACCCTTGTATCTCTTAGACGGCTTGTCAAGGGCTTTGTTATTGATAAAAGTCATAGAACAACGGCTAAATACTAGATTAGAGAACGCACGGGGTTGCATGAGCTCGAGTCGTTATTTGCTTGAAGATCTAGCCTGTATGCTGTTCCTAATCAAGCGAAATCCATATTGACGGGCGTTAGTAGCTACTGAAGTATCAACGAAACCAAAAAGATGACGGCGTCAGATGAAAAGTCATGAAATGTTAGACAGGCATAGTAACTTCGTTAGCTTACGAGTCACTGTAAGACCTACTGTCTCTTTAATCTGCTCCTCTATCAGAATATAAAACTTTTCTTATTCTGTCTCCAAGGGCGTTTTTAAACCTTTCAATCCACTTCTCTTGTAATATTTCCCTAGATTCTTGCAGAATAAGTGTTAAGCTCAACAATGGGTCTCGCTAGCTCTTCAACGACTCCGGGCACTTTGTTGAGCATTTGCCTTCTCCTTCTTTCTGCCTTCCTGCTTCGCAGACGATATGGCACTACTCTGCGTCGAGTTCCTGGTCCGTTCTGGGCTTCCTTTGGAAGCGGTTGGCAGATTTGGCATGCCATCAAAGGCGACATTGAGAAGGTAATGATGAAGTTACATGAAGAGCATGGTAGGTCAATAATGCAGATATCTGTCCTTGACGATGAGAAGACTAACAATCTTTCTAGGCCACTTCGTTCGTATCTCACACGAGGAAGTCAGTTGCAGTCACCCTGATGCTGTCCGCGCTATTCTTCTTCAACCGTTGGTCAAAGGTGACTGGTACAAGGCCTGCGCTATCCCGGACAAGTATCATCAGACGGCAATGTCGGAGGTAAATCCCCAGCGTAAGGGCGAAATGAAGAAGATCTTCGCCCCAGGATATCTCTCATCTAATGTTCTCCGTTCCGAGGCGCACCTCGACACATGCCTTAATAAGTTACAAGCCCACCTTGTTCGCCTTGCCGAAACCCGCGAGCCTGTCAATCTCGAGAAATGGTTCTTTTTCTGGTCCTCTGATTCGGTAGCCGGCCTGGTCTTCAGCGGAACTTTTGGCTTCCTCGACGCGGCCCGTGACATTGGCAACTCTATCGCCAACGCCAGGGTCTTC